GTGGAGGAAAGGCCGTAGTGAATACGAGGACGGATCAGATGATGGAGACCCCGGCATTGATGAGTGAGGTTTTCAAGCAGGCGCCGCCGTGCCTTTGTTGTGGGTCGGAGGCTTCTGGGATGCGGATTTCGTGGGAGGCTCCTCGTGACCTTTGCGCAATTCGGAAGCTGGGACGGTTTCGGTTTTCTGTTCTCCGGGGTCTTCTGTGGGCTCTTGGAGTTTTTTTTGCATCTTGATGGCTCCTTCGAAAGGAAAAGCTCGGGATGTCGGGTCGTGCTCTCCTTCTTGGAGCGCGTTTCTTTGTCAGGGGGGGTGGCCGGGGGGGGAGTATAATGTAACGCCCCCCCTCCGCCGTGTGGCTCTGGCACCACAGCCTCGCCCGCGCGCACGACGACGATGGGCGACGAGCAACGAGCGACGAGCGACGACGACTACGCGAGCAGCATGTAGGTGACAACCTGCCCCACAGCGCCTGTGTACACCACAATGCTCGCGTGCACCAACGCGCGCGTGTACACCACAGCGCCTGCGTACACCGCAACAACCGTGTGCGACGCAGCGCCTGTGTACACCATAGTGCTTGCGTGCAGCGCCGGTGTACACCACAGCGAATGTGTAACACCGCAGCAACAATGTACAACACAGCTCCTGTGTACACCACAATGCTTGCGTGCACCGCAGCGCCTGTGCACACCACAGCGCCTGTCTACACCACAGCATCCGCGTGCACGCAGCGCTGGTGTACACCAAAGTGGCTGCGTGCACAGGACAGATAGGACGAGCATGTAGGTGAGGATCTGCTGCAGGCAACTAATCGCCACGCCAGGGAAATGCTGATAATAGAATGCGACGTTTTTCTTTCCTCCCTCCTCCGCCATCTCCACCTCCTCTTCCTCTCCTCCGAGGGGGAGGAAAAGGAGGATGAGGAGAAGGAGGAGGAGGAGGAGAACGAAGAGGAGGAGAGGAGCAGAAGGAAGAGACATTTTTTTACGAGGAACACACAACCACAATTTCGGATCCCTATGCGGATCCCAGTGCGGGTCCCTATGCGAATCTCTATGCGGATCTCAAGGCGGATCCCTATGCGGACCCATGCGCGGATCCCTATGCGGATGCTAATGCGGATCCACATGCGGATGCCCATGCGGATGCCCATGCGCAGTGCCATGTGAATCCCTATGCAAATCCCTATGCGGCTCCTTACGCGGATCTCTATGGGGATGCCTATGCAGATGCGCATGCGCATGCCTATGCGGATCCCCATGTGATTTCCAATGCGGACCAGGCTCCCATGCGGATTCCTATGCGGACGCCGATGTGGATCCCGATGCGCACGGCGGCAGTGCCCGGAGCGCACTGGGGGGGGAGGGGCGTTACGTTACAAGGGGGGGGCGGCCCAGGGGCGATAATGCCGATTTTTCCCGAAGCTACAAAGAACCACGCTCATGGGCCTCTCATGGGGCCTCTTTGGCCGTTTCGGGTTTCTCTTTGGCTGCCTTCTTGGTCTAGACATTCCGAAAACAAGGGAACACGACGATGAGGGGATGAAGCGGGAGAGGAGAGCAGAAGTCGGGAGACGGTGCCTGGAAGAACTCGCCAGCGAAAAATCACCTCCCAATTAGTCGCCCGGAATAACTCACCTGGAAGACGCTCACCAGACGAACTCGCCAAGAAGAAATCGGCTCGAAAAGGATCGCCCCGGAAAAAATGAACCGGAAGAGGTTGCCTGGAGGAAGTCGCATCGGCAGAACTCACCCTCGGAAAAGTCGTCCGCAAGAAATCGAAAAAGAAGAGGGGGTTCGGGAGGAGGCGCCCCGGAAGAATTCACCATCGGAAGAACCTGCCAAGAAGAACTCTTCCGGAAAAACTCGCCCAGAAGTCGCCCCGGAAGAAATCATCATCGGAAGAAATCGTCCAGAACAACTCTTCCTGAATGAATCGCCCAGAATTCGCCGGCCCAACGGGCCAGGGCGTGCTAAGATCTCCGGTAACTGGTTAACAGTATTAACAGTATTTCTAGTTCGCGCGCGCGGGGGTCCCCCGGCGAAAAGTACCCCGACCAACGCCCGGTCGCCGCCCGACCAAGTCTACTCAGAGATGGTTTTCCTTCTGGGTGCGGCCTCTCAGGCTCCCCAGAGCGCGCTCAGAGTGCCCCAAGAGGCCCCCAAGACTGCCCAAGAGGCCCCCGAGACGCCCAAAGAGCGCTCGAAGACGCCGAAGATGACCCCAAGACGGCCCAAAAGGCCCCCAAGACAGCCCAAGAGGCCTCCAAGACGCCCCAAGAGCCTTCCAAGAGGCCTCCGAAGAGAGCCCCAAGAGGCCAAAATCGTTGATTTTCATTGGTTTTTTCGATGTTTTTTGTGTTCTGGCTTTTTCGGCTTCCGGACGCTCCAAGACGGCCCAAGAGGCCCCCAAGACCGCTCCAAGACGGCCCACGAAGCTCCCAAGACGGCGCCGAAACGACCCAAGAGAGCCCTCAAGACGGCCCAAGTGCCGCCCAAGACGGACCAAGAGGCCCCAAGACGGGCCCAAGAGGGACTCAGGAGGGATACCGAGAACTCAAAAATGGAGCCCTCCGTCCCAGAAGGCGCCCAGGAGGTCCCAAAGAGGCCCCAAGAGGCCTCCAAGAGGCCCCAAGATGTCGCCAAGAGGCCCCAGGAGACTCCCAGGAGGCCCAAAAGAAGCCCCAGAAGGCTTCAAACATGTCTCCCAGGCGCCCCCGAACGGCCTCTCAACAGACCCCAAGAGGCCCCCCAAAGAAGCATCTTGACGACGACTCTATTTCGCCCCATCGAGAGACGACCCCCAGGGAACTGCTTCACCATCAAAACTCCCCACGCAACGCGTCCGAACGACACCCGCCCCCAAGAGCGCAACATGGGCAACGAACACACAGACAAAAACCAGCGATGCCATATCACGGGCCGGCGGAATGAGCGAAGCGATTCAATAAGTCGCCTCGGAAGAAATCAACTTCGGAAGAAATCGCCCAGAAGAACTCCTCTGGAAGAAATCGTCCTGAAGAAATCGCCTCGAGGAAAGCGTTTCGGAAGAAGTCGCCCAAAGAAACGGTAGGCTTTCTTTCGGCAGACCCCTCACACGCTTCTTGGCCCCGTAGGGAGCTCCACGGAAGATCACAATAGTGCAGTTCGCATGCGTCCCCCCAAGCCATTTCGGCACATCCCTCACACGCTACGTGGCCCAATACGGACCTCCACCCAAGGCCCCAGTAGTGCCCACGCATGCGTCCCAGTTGCCCATGTCGGCACACCATTCGCACGTTTCGTGGTCCCATAGGGAGCTCCACCGAAGGCCCCGAGTACGCAGGCTGTATGAGGTCCCAGCCACCCATTTCGGCACACCCGTCCCACGTCTCGTGGCCCCACAGGGAGCTCCGCCGAATGTCCCAGCGGCGCAGCTCGGATGCACCCGCGCCGCCCAACTCGGCACACCCCTCACACGCTTCGTGGCCCCATTGAGATCTCCACCGAGGGCCCCAGTCGCGCAACCCGCATGCGTCCCAGCCGCCCATTTCGGCACACCCCTCACACGTTTCGTCGCCCCGTAGGAAGCTCCACCTGAGGCCCCAGTGCCACAATTCGTATGCGCTCCCAACCACCACTACCCCCACCACTCCCACCACCCCCACCCCCACCCCCACCCCGACCCCCACCCTCATCCCCACCACCACCACCATCACCACCACCATCGCCACCACCACCACCACTACGGCACCTCCTCACACGTTTCGTGGCCATTAGGAACGAATGGGGCTTTTCCAGCGCCACGATGGGCCTAGGATGCGATTAAACCCAAGCCCCTCCTGAGCCCAAAGCGGTCCTTATGTCGGCGCCTTGACTATATGACCACCACCACCGAGGAGGTACACCGCCGCTATTGGTGCTGGTGTCAATCTCTAGGCCTCCGATCGGGAGACGCCAACGCGGTACGGTGCACACAAGGTGGAGGCGGCCAGAGGGTCTGCCCTGGAAGGGCCCCGAGAAAATCCGTCAGGAAGGGAAGGGGCCAAATCCGCTGAACATCTGTCCCAGGACCCCTCCTGGGTCCATCTGGCGCAGACTTTCACCCCGGAACAGCTCGTGACGGCCACGCGGGGCCCGAAGACGGCCCCCAGAGACAGCAGCAGCCTCCTCGAACCCAGCACCTCGACTCTCCCCCCCTCCTGCTGGCCCCGAGCCAGTGCTGGGCCACCTCAGTAGAGGGCCACATGCGAACCCTACCCCATACCCCCCACGATTTTGGAGGGGGAGGGTGGGGTTTGCTTCGCTCGGGAGCCCTCGGGCGAAGTGAACCCCACCCTCCCCCTCCAAAATCGTGGGGGGTATGGGGTAGGGTTCGCACGTGGCCCCCTACTCAGACCTCCAGCCCACTCCGCGACCGCGAGACGCCACCGCGGCACGGTGCACACACAGGTCCTCCGCGGGCCCGACCTTTTTTCGTGGATCTTCTGACCCGGGTCAATCCAGACCCGGGTCAGCAGGAAACCAAAAACTGCAATGCAGGAAAAAAAAAACTGCAACGCAGATCTTCGCAAACCCGGGTCAGTCAATGTGTGCGGCCGCCTCGCGGCCACGAGCGGCTCCCTGACCCGGGCCAGTCAGAGGGGGTCTTCGCAGGATCCTGCAGGATCTGGCGTCCTGGCTGACCCCCGTCTGCATTGACCTAGGGAGCCCACAAAGGACGTACGCGCCCAGCTATGTACATGAACACGGCCCCTCGATTCGCGAGACCGGCCGCGTTATACGAACATTTGTGCAATGCGTGCTCTCGAAACCAGCGTGGATTCATGTACATGTACGTCCTTCTTTCGCTCCTGAGTCTGACCCCCGTCTCAGGGCTGACCCCCGTCTGCATTGACCTGACCCCCGTCTCAGGGCTCCCGATTTTTCCGCCCACGGGGAGCGCCGGCTCTCCGACCCGCGGGCAGCAGGCGCCGGCGCGGGGGCCCCGGCGGTGCCCGCGCCGAGCCGCGCGCGGTCCTCCGCGCACGCCAGCGCCAGCGCGGCGGGCCACCTGCGGCAGGAGGGCGCCGGCTGCACTGCACAGCACAGACAGTCGGGGCGGCCCCATTTTCCCATCAGTGAAAGTTCGATGTCCCATCGAAAACCTAAGGAGAACCCAAGGCAAGCTGTGAAGCAGTCAAGGAGCACGGAGCCCCTCCCCAACGGAAAGGGTTCCTTCTTCAGCACCCCGACTGTACAGTGAGGATGCGCGGAAAGGGTACAAAGGGCCTGGGACGCCCATGCCAAGGCTCTTCGAGCGGGGCTGGCCATCGACAGTGGTTGAGGATGGACCGGAGATGACCGAAGAGGCAAGGATGCGAGGGTACCCTGGGGAAGTCGATCACCCTCACCATCATGGTTAACTGTATGAGAACGTGAGCTCGTGCACTCGAGTCATCGGGCTACGGTGAATGAATGCATTGGATGAGGAACCCTTGGAGAAGGAATCCAGGGGCTGAAAGACGGTGGAGCACCAACTGAGGCTTGGCCATGGATGTATCACCGCCGCTCTTATCAGATAGGGAGTCCTCCAAGGTCTGAACCCTCCTGGATACATTCCTTAACGAATGCCAGCACCGTACCACAAGGAACGCCGAATACGGAACGAACTAGTTCCCTCGACCTAAGAAGTCTACGGAGCGGCCCGAAAACCAGAGCCCACCAATGTTCATTTCGGCGTATTGACTGTAGAGGCCTCCCACACGGGTCCAAGTAGACTGGGCCAGAGGATCGCGACGCATCGGCGATGCATCGGCGATGTCGGGGTGGAGGAAATGGAGCTCCACATCGAACCGTATCGTCGATGCATCGGCGATGCGGCGCCATCCTCCGACTACATCTACTTCGGCCCCATCAGGGAGGTCTCGCTGCACTGTACCATGTTGAAGCTCCCTTCAAGCACCGCTCCAACGAAATGCGGTGCATAATGTTTTGACCCTGAGGGCCGAAACGGTATGAACCGTACCATTCCTGGATCGAGAATCGGCGACGCCTCGGGAGACGCCGACGCGGTACGGCGTACACAAGTCGTCCGCAGACTCCGAGGCACTGGCCCTGGCCAGCACAACGAAGCCAGGACCGAGCAATAACTGAGGAGGACTGGTAAAGCTGAACATGAAAGGGCGAGATCAAGGAAGTGAAAGAAGGCAGATGAAGGGAGAAAAAGGAACCACAAAATAACATCGTGAAAACGAGAACGGAGACACTAGGGACATTAATGTACTAGTGTTTATGTGTTGTTTCTTTTCTATCTCTCCCTCTCTTCATATTTCGCCTGTGCACATAATTTACAAGACCAAGATGAGTGGCGCGAAACGCAAATGGAATCTTGTGAGTTGGTTACAATATACCAACCTTTCCTATATGATATGAAGGCAGGCGGTTCAGAAAAACATCGTTCCACATGTGCACCTGGTCCGAGCGAGCCACGACGCCCCCCGCCACCGAAGCAACACGTTCCAGTCAGATCCCACCGAGAAGATGTTCTCTGTGCAGTCAGTCGTCGGTCGACCACTGGCCCTCCCCCCGTAGGAGCAAGGAAAATCAAGATCCCTGGCACCAGCGCGAGTAGCCAGCGGGGATCCTTCCCCGCTCGGGGCATCCCCTATCCCCAACTCGGGGAGGCATCGCGGACCTCCTCGCTGGAGGTGGCACCCCTGCTTCGGGGGTTGCTGAAGGTGCCCCTGGCTCAAGGTGCCCCCAGCTTTTCGCTCAATTTTGGAGCTCCTGGGGCCCTCTGGAGCTCGTGAGAGGGTGCTCTGGAGGCCGTAGTGGCCTCCTTGAAAATCCTGGGGGCACCTTGGGCCAGGGGCACCTCTAGCAACACCCGACTGCTGTAGAGGCCTCCCAGGTGGGGTCCGAATAGATGGGGTCGGAGGATGGCGCCGCATCACCGATGCTTCGTCGACGTCGGCGACGCATGGCGACGTCGACGTGGAGAAAATCGGGCTCCGCATCGAGCTCCATCGCCGATGCATCGGCGATGCGGTGCGATCCTCCAAACCCTACCTGGGAGGCCTAGATAATTAGTGGTGCTGCTATTTCCTCCGACCCCGCTTTCACTGCGGCTCCGCCTGCCGCCGTCGTGGCACACCGACGACACGGCGTCGTAGACGTCCACGCCGCCCTCCACGCCTGGGCGCCGGCGGATGTGCGAGGGAAAGGCGACGAACGACCCTGACGCGCCACCAATTCCCGTGAGGCACCGCTTTCGGGCTCCGGAAAATATGCGGCAACGTGACGAACCGTGCCGTGACCTCGAACTCCCAAACGTGCCGTGCCGTGTCTGGTAACGTGCTGGACCGTGCCGTACCGTACGGTCAATGGCCGCACGCTTCTGGGACCCTGGAGGCCCCAGTCGCCCGAGACGGCTTCGGAGAGCGGCCCAAGTCCCCAAATCGTGCAAGTAAACCCGAATCTGCACTGACTCACCACAAGGTGTGGTCACCGCACCGACCTCTGCCCCCAGACCTCTAGCGACAGGGGGCAGATCGCGCCGGAGACGTTTCGCGGCCTTCAGAGCCCAGGTGCCTGTCCTGGGCCATGGGACCGGCAGTGCACTAATGAGGATGAGACAGCAATCAATAACATGTCCACTGGACAGGAGTCGGGAAGTCCCGGGGGCCAGCAACTCCTCGGTCGCCCAACGTTGCGGCTAGCGTTGCGCGAAACGAAATGAGCGATTCTCTTCGGCCTCTTGCGCCCAGCCCGCCTGGAGAAGGGCCCAGGCGGCTGATTTTGCACAATCCGTGGGCCTAGAAGCCTCGACCCCTTTCCTGGGAACGGTCTTTCATCATGGGTCGTCTGAGCCAGAAAACTGTCCCCTCGAGGAGCAACGCTGGGATTGAACAGATCTGATCCCAGAAGTCCTCCGAGGTCTCCCTGGACTCCTCTGGAGGTCCTCGGCGGTCCTAGGAAGTTTCCGATACTTTAAGAAGCCCCCAGAGGGCCAGCAAGGTGTCAAAAACGTAAAATCCGCCAGACCCCTTGCGGGGCCATCAGGCTGCGAGGCTCAGGCTCTGCTCCTGTTCCAGTTTCCAGTGTCCATTGTGATAGTTCTACGCTCTGCTTTCTATTGTAACTTGTTGAAGTCCGCGCGAGAGGGGAGAGCCGAAAAGCGGCCTGGCTACCACACCCGAATCGCGTTGTTTGAAATCCCTGGGGGGCGTGGGGCACGTACAAATCCATGAGACTCGCGACCTCGAAGCCATAATCCCTTGTAACTTACACAATGCTCGCGTCCCCGAGGCCACTAACTCTCGTAAAGCATACAACTTTCGCGCCCCCGAGGCAACATACCCTTGTACATTACACCAAGTTTTGCGCCCCCGAAGCCATAAGCCAACGCAAATTACGCCGAATTCGCATTGCGAAGGCCAAGAGTGCTCCAAGGCGCCCGACGATGGTTCCAAGACGATCCAAGAGAGCCCAACGAGGCCACAAGAGCGCTCAAAGAGGCCTCCCGAGAGAGCCCCAAGAGGCCAACATCGCTGATTTTGCAGCGCATGTTCGGCTTTCCGACACTCCAAGACGGCCCAAGAAGCTTCCAAGACCGCCCCAAGACAGCCCACGACGCCTCCAAGAGGGCCCCTAGACGGTCCAAGAGGGCTCCGAGATGGCCCAAGAAGCGCTCAAGACGGCCCAAGAGAGCCCCAAGACGGCCCCAGGAGGGCCCGAGCAGGGGGCCACGAACCGACCATTCAATATTTGTGCTGCGAGAAACCCCCAAGAGGCCGCCAAGAGGCCCCAAGAGGCGACCAAGACGCGCCCAAGAGGCCTCCAAGAGGCCCAAAAGATACCCCACGAGGCCCCAAGAGGCCCCCAAGAAGCGCCCAAACCGCCTCCAAGTGGCCCCCGAGATGCTCCCCACGACACCCCAGCACATATACAAGAGGCCTCAGACCCACAACCCAGGCACGGTGGCGGGATGGGCTGAAGGCCACTAGGATAACGGCAACGTCTCAATATGCGCAGATGATTCCTCTCCGCCCCAGCATGAGGTTCCCAGATGCGCCAAGGCAGCGCCCAGACGCACCGACGCGACTCTGATGTCTCCCCTTACGCCCGCCCCCAAGCCTAACTCGGCCCAAGATCGGTCCCCGGACCCCTCCCGGGGCCCATCCTGCCCAGTCCGTGGACCTGGGCCCGGCCACGTCCGAGAGGGCTCGGGCTGGCGGCACGGCGGCCGCCTGGCGCGAGGTGTTGCGGCGGCGCGTCGCCGCGCGCCCTGGCGCGCCTGATGAATTCGGCGCATGCCATCCTCCTCCCTATTCCTCCTCCTCCGCCTCCTCCTGCTCCTCCTCGTCCTCCTAATCATTTCCCTCCGTCTCCTCCTGCTACTCCTGCTGCTCCTCCTCCTCCTCCTCCTGCTCCTCCTCCTCCACCCCTCTTCCTTACAAATAACTCCTGCCTGTTGCACCCCCAGACGTGTCGGTATGGCGGGCCAGGCATTTTGCTTGAGTCTCCCCCATCATGTATGATCCCAGAATGTTTCATTTACATTCACGGATGGTTGGCGGACCGCTTTAAGCATGTGGCTCTCGCCTGAGCGCAACACGCAGTCGTCTTGCAAAACTGCAGCAGCTTCATGGATGGAGGGCGGGCCGTTTTGATCATGTGGCTCTCGCACTAGCGCCGCGCACATTCGTTTCAAAACTTCACAACAGTTTCGCGGATGGAAGGCGGCTCCTTTCGAACATGTGGCTCTCGCCTTGAGCGCTGCGCACAATCGTCATAGAATTTCGCAACAATTGTTCAAGAACTCGTATGGTTGAAGTCCCAAGAATGGTGTTCTGGCACGAGTTAGCACTGTCACGACGCAACAGTCACGTTGGACCGCAGTGTCGAAATCCCAGGTCTGGTGATCTGCCGCGACCTACTACTGTCAGAACGCAGCACTTACGTTGCCGGCGTTTAGACCCCAAGAGGTGTGTCTTGCCACGGAAGAGGATTTTGCGACGGTTGTCCTCCACTGTCGCTCTCCACGCTATGAACATAAAATCTTACATGGACCGATGTAGAGGGAACTTGAAGAGAGGATGGAATGCAACATGATTGATGCGTCTTGAATTTCCGAATGTTCCTCTTTGAGCAGAGATCGACCGTCCTGGCATTACTATACACCTGCCTCCTTTGAACAGGGTTCGACCGTCTCGGCAGTTCTATACGCCTACCGAGAACTGTTCTTGGAACCGAAGAACGTTCTAAGAGCATAAGCAATGTGCATATAACATGATGCCGACGTGTTAAGACAAGACAGTCTCACCCAGAAAAGGTCTAACAACATTTCGCGCAAGTAAAAGACAGGTTCTTACAACATTATCTGGTGAGTCTATAGGCAAACCAAGACGCTTCGCCACTGCTTGACACCTCCTCCTCCTCCTCCTCCTCCTCCCTCATCGAGCGCGGCCTTGGAAACTCCCGAGTCCGCGGGGGCCCCCCTGGTAGTCGGGCCAGGACGAAAATAACATCGGGTGCGAATACATCGAAAATATTTGAGAACCGGCGGCTCTGGAGGGTATCTCGGGCGCCGCGGCCTTCTCAGAGCGTTCTAGAACGCTCTGGAACGGACTTATCCTCGTCCTTGAACCGTCCGACCTCTCTCTTTCTCTCTGCCACGGGGCGCGCTGCGGCTGGTGAAGAGCCCAGACATGCGGCGTCTCGATTTTTTTGAGATACGGGCCCCCGACCTCCAGACCACTTCCCCGAGACCAGTCTTTCATTAAGAATCATTGTTTGACGGTCCCGAAGCCCGGTCAGGGCCCCCAAGGGCAGGAAAATACAGAAGAGCCCTCGGTCCCGATGTTTTCGAGACGCCCGATGTCTGGGAGTGTCCGCGAGGGCGCCCATGGAGCCACCGAGGACGTCCCGAAGCCTCGCCTCGCCCCCCTGGCCTCCTCGCCTTGCGCGCCGCCTAAAGGGGGGAGGGGCGCGGGGCGCGGGGGCGTGTCCTCGCTGGCCCATGTCGTCGAGGAGCCCCAGCGCCCAGCGCCACTGGCCCTCTTTCGGGTGTTGCCAGAAGCGCCCCTGGCCCAGGGTGCCCCCAGGATTTCCAAGGAGGCCCCCGCGGCCTCCACAGCATCGCGAGGCCCAGAGAGCCCCAGGGGCTCCCAAATTTAGCGAAAAGCTGGGGGCACCTTGGGCCAGGGGCACCCTTTTTGGGGTCGAGGAAGAGTGAGCACCAGTCCCAGCTGCAGTGGTAGGCGCGGGGAGAGGGGGTCGCTCAATGGGGGGGGGCGATCAAGGGGGAGAAGAAAGGTGCACTTCTCGGGCCCTAACGGCCTCCTCTTGGGCCCTGAAGGGCCCCTCGAGGGGCACCGAAGGGCCCCTTTTCTGCAGCCATCGCTGCCCCTCCATGCATCGCCTCCCCATTACACGACGCCCAGGGGGGGAGGGGGTCGAGAGGACCGGGCGCAGGGGGAACGGAGCGGATCGAGCCGTCGGAGGTCTGAGTTGAGAGACCTGGGTTTCTCGAAGGGGTCTGAGGGTCAGGGCCTGGGACTCTTTGAACAACAAACCCTGACAGATGAAGGAAGGAAGGAAGGAAGGAAGGTGAAGCAATAAAGGTGAAGCAAGTGTAAAAGAAAGGGAAGGATGGCACCCCCATAGGAGAAGGGGGAGAGTGGTAAAGGGCGTGGATGTGACCTGCTCCTCTTCCCCCTTTTATATGATACTCTTTCTGTCCTCCCCCTCCTCCTCCTGCTAACTCCCTCCGCATCCTCCTCCTCCTCCTCCTCCTCCTCCTCCTCCTCCCCACTCCCTCCTCTTCTGCTTCCTCCTCCCTGGGGGGGGACGAGAGGGGTTTAATGTGTGTTGCTTGTTTGTTCGACCGTGTGCTGTGTGAGTGTGTGTGTGCTTTCGTTGCGTGCATACGATTCAGAAAGGTCCCAACACATAGCTGGGCGAAGAACCCAACCCCTTTCACAACGTGATGCCACTACAGACAGGACCGCTCAGCATACCATCACGCTCTGAGGGACCTGCAGCGCCACGCTCCCACCCGCCACATGCACGCGCGTGCCTTCACGACTCGACCCTCGAATGGGGCGGGGCCGCTGTGCGGCCCCTGCACTGGGGCCTTCGGTGAAGCTCTGTACGGGTCCACGAAACGTGTGGGGGGGGTGCCACAATGGGGGCGGGGCTGCCATGCGGAATCTGCCACTGGGGACTTCGGTGGAGCTCCCCATGGGGCCACGAAGCGTGAAAAGGGTGTGCTGAAATTGACCAGCGACAGCGTGCGAACGCAGCCACTGGGACCGTTGGTGGAGCAACCTATGGGGCCGCGAAACGTGCGAGGGGTGCACCAAAATGGGCCCGAGACCGCCATGCGACCGCTGCCACTGGGGCCTTCGGAATATCGACCCATTGGGCCACGAAACGTATCAAGGGTCAGGGTGTGCCCGAATGTGCCCTAGCACGCAATGCGACCGCAGCCACTGGGGCGCTCGGTGGAGTGACCTATGGGGCCGTGGAGCGTGTGAGCGGTGCGTCGACGTGGGCCCGAGGTCGCCGTGTGACCGCAACCACTGAAACATTCGAGGCCGGCGCGTTGGGCCGAAGGCCATCTAACCTTTCTCAATTTGACCAAAACCACTCAGAAGCCTGGCACGCCGTGCACCCGTATGGGAAGCCACAAAGGGCGGTGGATCGAAGACGCCTGCAGCGAATCACAGCTGCCCCCTGCCTTGTGGAAGCGGACACCTCTTTGACGCTCCTGGGGCCAGCTTGGTGACCTCTGGGGCCGTCTTGGGCCGGCGGAAGCCGAGAACGCCCAAATCCTTGAAAAACCTGAATCATTTCGGCCTCTTCGGGCCTTCCTGGAGTTCCTCTTGGAGTCCTCTTGGGCCGTCTTGGAGGCCTCTTGGCCCATCCTGGGGGCATTTCGGCCTGTCCTGGAGACATCTTGGGGCCACCTTGTGCTCTTGGGTGGGGCCATCGCCGCCGTCTTGGAGACCTCTGGGGCCGTCTTGGAGGCCATCTTGGGGCCGAAAAAACCAAAAACTATGTAACATCCAGCACGCCGTGCACCCCCGTGGCAAACCTACAGGGGGCGGCGGGTCGAAGACGCCTACGGCGAATCACCGCCGCCCCCTGCCTCTTGGAATCGCCCATGTGGCCGGACATTGTGGCAAAAGCTCTGCCAACCTATCGGGCCATGCGTTCCCCCAACCGTTGTAGAAACCCTTCGGGGAACATTCGGGGGTGGATGGCGGGGAAGATCAGGGGGGGAGATATCTTGGGAGCCCCTGGGGCACTTTGGGGGCCTCCTGGGAGTTTCCTGGGAGCCTCTTGGAGGCAACTTGGGGGCCTCCGTGGGCCTCTTGGGGGCCTTCACAGGCGTCTCGCTGGCCTTTTGGCCGGCTTAGGGCATTCCTGGCCCGTCTGACGCCGGCGGATGCCATCTTGGGGGCCTCTCTGGGCCGACTTGGGACCTCTTGGGGTGCTCCAAAGAAGTCTTGGAGGCCATCTTGGGCGTCTTCAAAGCCTCGTGGGCCGTCCTGGGGCACTCTTGGGGCCCTCTTGGGACCGTCTTGGGGGCCTCTTGGGCCGTTCTGGGGCCATCTTGGAGGCCTCTTGGGCGATCTTGGGGCGATCTTTGGGGCTCTTGGGCCGTCTCGGGGCCCTCTTGAGACTGTATTGGGGGCTTCTTGGGCCGTTCTGGGGCCATCTTGGAGGCCTCTTGGGCGATCTTAAGGCGATCTTCGGGGGCTATTGGGCCGTCTCGGGCCGTCGGAAGATCGAAAAGACGCATATGTCAAAAACCTCAGGACAATCAATGACGTTGGCCTCTTCGGGCCTTCCTGGAGGCCCGCTTGGAGGCCTCTTGGGCCGTCAGGGGGACCTCTTGGGAGCCTCGTGGGCCGTCTTGGGCCATGTTCAAGCCATGTTGGGCCGTCTTGATGGCCTCCTGACCGGTCTGGCGCCGTCGGAAGCCGTCTTGATGGCTTCTCCCGGCCGACTTGGGGCCCTCTTGGGGTGCTCCAGGGCTGTCTTGGAGGCCATCTAAGGCGTCTTGGAGGCCTCTTGGGCCGTCGTTGGGCCCTCCAGTCCTGGATACTTCGTGGGCGGACTTGCATCTTGGACCCTCTTGGGCCGTCTTGGAGGTCATCTTGGACCATCTTGGGCGAACTTTGAGGCCATCTTGAAGGCCATCTTGGACCATCTTGGAGGCCATCTTGGGCCGTCTTAGGGAATTAATTGCTGACTTCGTGCTTCTGGTCCCTTCCGGGTGGCCGGCGGGACGGGCCGAAGCCCCAAGGGGGTTCTTTTGGAAAAAGAACGTGTACCAAACTGTATAGGATCTGGCACGCCGGTCACCCATGTGGCAAGACCACAGGAGGCGGCGGATTGAAGTCGCATACAGCGAATCACCGCCGCTTTGGAATCGCACATGTCAATGTCATGTGGCCGGTCGTTGTGGCAAGAGCTCTGTCAAGCTATAGGACCATGTGGAAACCCTTCTGGGACCACTCGTGGGATGATGGCGGGAAAGACCAGTGGTAGTAGTAGTAGTAGTAGTAGTAGTAGTAGTAGTAGTAGGAGCAGCAGCAGCAGCAGCAGCAGCAGCAGCAGCAGCAGCAGTAGTAGTAGTAGTAGTAGTAGTAGTAGTAGTAGTAGTAGTAGTAGTAGTAGTAGTAGTAGTAGTAGTAGTAGTAGTAGTAGTAGTAGTAGTAGTAGTAGTAGTAGTAGTAGCCTAGTAGTAGTAGTAGTAGTAGTAGTAGTAGTAGTAGTAGTAGTAGTAGTAGTAGTAGGTAGTAGTACAGTAGTAGTAGTAGTAGTAGTAGTAGTAGTAGTAGTAGTAGTAGTAGTAGTAGTAGTAGTAGTTAGTAGTAGTAGTAGTAGTAGTAGTAGTAGTAGTAGTAGTAGTAGTAGTAGTAGTAGTAGTAGTAGTAGTAGTAGTAGTAGTAGTAGTAGTAGTAGGTAGTAGTAGTAGTAGTAGTAGTAGTCGTAGTAGTAGTAGTAGTAGTAGTAGTAGTAGTAGTAGTAGTAGTAGTAGTAGTAGTAGTAAGTAGTAGTAGTAGTAGTAGTAGTGTAGTAGTAGTAGTAGTAGTAGTAGTAGTAGTAGTAGTAGTAGTAGTAGTAGTAGTAGTAGTAGTAGTAGTAGTAGTAGTAGTAGTAGTAGTAGTAGTAGTAGTAGTAGTAGTATAGTAGTAGTAGTAGTAGTAGTAGTAGTAGTAGTAGTAGTAGTAGTAGTAGTAGTAGTAGTAGTAGTAGTAGTAGTAGTAGTAGTAGTAGTAATAGTAGTGGTAGTAGTGGTAGTAGTAGCAGTAGTAGTAGGAGGAGGAAGAAGAAGAGGAGGAGGTATCTTGGGAGCCTCTGGGGGCACTCTTGGAGCCTCCTGGGAGCTTCCTGGAGGCCTCTTGGAGGCATCTTGCAGGCCTCCTTGGGCCTCTTGGGGGCTTCAAGGAGGCCTCTTGGGCCGTCCTAGGGCATTCGTGGCCCGTGTGACGCCGTCGGCAGCCGTCTTGGGCGCCTCTCTCGGCCGACTTGGGGCCCTCCTGGAGTGCTCCAAGGCTCTCTTAGACGGAGGCCATCTAGGGCATCTTGGAAGCATCTTGGGACGTTTTGGGGCCGTCTTGGGGGCCTCTTGGGCCGTTCTGGGGCCATCTTGGAGGCCTCTCGGGCGACCTTTGGGCGATTTTTGGGGGCTCGTGGGCCGTACCGGGCCGTCGGAAGGCCGAAACGAAGCAAATGTCAAATCCTTCAAAAACCTTTGGAACATTAATGTTTTTGGCCCCTCTTGCAGGCCTCTTGGGCCGTCTTGGGCCAGCTTCGAACCAACTTCGGCCATCTTGGTGGGCTCCTGGCCCGTCTGACGCCGTCGGAAGCCGTTTGGGGGGCCTTTTTGGGCCGACTTGGGGCCCTCTTGGGGTGCTCCAGGACCGTCTTAGAGGCCATCTTGGGCGTCTTGGAGGCCTCTTGGGTCGTCTTTGTGCCCTCTTGGGCTCCCTCCTCCTCGATCCTCGTCCCGCTCCCTCCTCGATTCTCGTCCCTCCTCCGTCCTCCCCTCCTCCCTCCGCCTCTCTCCCTCCTCCCTCGCTACCTCCCCTCTCTCCCCCCCACCTCCCCCCTCTTCCTCCTCCTCCACCTCCTCCTCCTCCTCCTCCTCCTCCTCCTCCTCCTCCTCCTCCTTCGCCTCCCCCTCCCTCTCTCCCACCCTCCCCCCTCCTCCCTCTCCCCCCGTCCTCCCTCATTCCTCCCCCCTCCTTCCTCCCCTCCTCCCCTCCTCCCTTCCCCCTTCGTGGCGCCGCCTCCTGCCCCCCCCCCCCTCCCCGCGGGCGTCCTCGCTGCCCGGCGCCGCGGGCGCAGGGGCGCGCTGCCTCGCGGGGTGTGTGTGCCGCGCTCGATGGAAACGGCCGCTGCTGGCCAGGCGACTTGCTGTCTCAAACGGGCAGCGCCCGCGACGACAACGACATCGAGCACGGTTCAAGACGGGCAGGGCCTGCTGTCGTCTTCGCCCCTGTTCGTTCTGCTAGGGCTCCCTACTTCGCGCTTCGCGCTCCGCGAAGCGCGAATAACTTCGCGCTCTCGCGCCGCCCCCCCCCAAGGGGAAACAAGGAGGACGAGGAGGAGGGGGAGAAGGAACGAGGACCGCGAAGCGCGAATAACTTCGCGCCCTCGTGGGAGCCCTTGGTTCTGTATCCATTGCGATCGTACCGCATTGATGTCCTTCTGCGCCTCCTCCCCGCTTGCATCGGAACACGGAAACTTGACACCACGACCACCACCACCATCAGGGGTCACCAGCGGGAGGAGCCCAGGGGGGGATCTCCTCTCGCTCGAGGCATCCCCTGTCCCCAGCTCGGGAAGGCATCGTGGACCTCCTCGCCCGATGTGGCCCCCCTTGTGGTGATGGTGGTGGTGTCGCTTCTCCTCTCGACGCTCGGAACCTCCTGGGCCCTGCGGCGTTCGGCATCCGCTGTGCCTTGTTGAGAGGCTTCCCGCGGAATCTGGGATCGCCCGGAGCGGCCGCCCCACGAAACCAGTAAAGTGCGAACCAGGACTTTGGAATTGCCAGCTGGAGAGAGCGAAGGCTGGAGACTTGCTCGACCCACGGCTGCAACTTTCTCGGGCGCGCCAACGTCGTGCTTTGTCGATGTCCCTGTTTAGGGGGGCCCTGAGCCTGTGTGCCGGAACGCGTGGTGACCTCGGAATCCCCAACGACCTCACCACGCGGTCCGTACCGCGGTTTGTACCGCAAGGGATCTTGGGACCTCGGAAGCCCCAATCGCCCGAGACGTCCTCGGAGAACGACCCGGGTCCCAAAACTGAGCGGTGACCCCAAATCCCCACTGACTCACCACAAGGATGCGCGATGAGGATGCAAACCCCTTGGACGCCCATGTCGAAACTTCTCGAGCGGAGCGGGCCATCGAAAGTGGTTGAATATGGACCCAAGATGGCCGCAGAGGCAAAGATGCAAGGGCACCCTGGGGAGGTCGCTCATCTTCACTATCTGTTTCGACTGTAGGGGAGCCCTGAGCCATGAGCCCGGGCTGTGGCCCGGGAACCAACCAGCGGGAGGAAGGCCATCAGATCTGGGGGCCGTCTGAGACGATAGGCGTTTCTGAACCGTCTCGGGTGCCTGGGCGCCCACGTGGATCGATCTGGCTCGGGAAGCGAGGCAAAAAGACTAGGTCCAGAGACGTGGGTGCGATTTCTCACGGAGCTCGTCCGGTTCTTTTCTCCTCCTCTTCCTCCTCCTTCCTTCTCCTTTTTCCTCCTCCTCCCCCTTCCCCTCCCTCGTCACAGTCCGCTCCTCCCGCCGCGGTCCTCCCTCGTCGTCGTCGTCGTCGTTCGCCTCCTCCTTCTGCTAGTCCCCTCCTCCACCTCCTCGAAGGGGATCTGCTCTGTGCGCTTGAATCTATTCAGAACCTCCGAAGGCCTCTGGATGCCTCCAGCGTTCCCCTGCAACCTCTGAAGACCTCCTTGTCATCTTCCGCCTTTTCCCCTCTGCCTAACTCCTCCCCTTCTCACACTGTTGATCCTCCTCCTCTTCCTCCTTCTCCTCCTCCTCCTACATATTCCTCCTACTTGAACTCCATCCTTTCCATCCTTCCCCCTTGCCCGCTACCCGTGAAAGGCAAGTTATGCAAGTACGGAGGAGGCAACGAATTGGCGACCCACGCTTCAGTCAAGCCCCAGCCCCACTATGAGGCCACACCGGTGGCACGAATACGAGCCTGCCGTCCGGAGGCCCAACTCGTTTCTCCGCCCTTACCCCCCTTGGCGTCCAGAGCTGGAGGCAACACCATTGGCACGGGCACAACTTCGACCGCCGAAGAAGGCTGCTGAAGGGGCCCCAGGACACACAAATAAATACACACAAATAAAATAATCCCGCATATTTTCCCATATTTTCTGGGTTTCTGTCTTCCCGCCCACTTCCCATATTTTCCCATATTTTCATGGAAATCGAGGATGAATTGTGTCTGTGTGTTTCTTTTCCTCCTGAGCTGCGGCGGGGAACCTCCCTCGCCTGTTGGCTCGGCCCTCGCGGGCCCGCCGCCCGGGGCGCGGGCGGCTGGCTCCGCCCTCCAGCTTCCTCCCGCAGACCTCCGACCTCTCCCGTCCTCCGCACCTCCCGCCGTCCACGCGGGGGGGCGGGCGGTGGCGAGGGTCGGCGGGCGGGAGGCAGGACCGTCCACGCGCGCAGGGGCCTGGGCAGTGCGCTGGTCAGACAACCAGTTGACCCGCGGAGCGTGGATGGTGATCTGTGCTCCCCTTCCTCTTCCTCCTCCTCCTCCTCCTGCTCCTCCTCCTCCTCCTGCTTCTCCTCCTCCTCCTCCTCTTTTCCTCCTCCTCCTCCTCCTCCTGCTCCTCCTCCTCCTCCTGCTCCTCCTCCTCCTCCTCTTTTCCTCCTCCTCCTCCTCCTGCTCCTCCTCCTCCTCCTCCTCCTCCTCCTCCTCCCCTTTTTCTTCCTCCTCCTCCTCCTCCTCCCCCTTTTCTTCCTCCCCCTCCTCCTCCCCCTCCTCCCCTCTGGGGCTGGGCCCATGCACCTCCCCTGCTGCCCCATCCCATCCTCCAACCTCGCACTTCCGCCCTCCCAACCTCCAAACTCATTCCTCCCGCCGCCTCTCGCGTCCCTCCTCGCTCAATCCGTCGCCCGTTTTCCGCGTCCCCCCTATGACGCCTTTTGGAGCTCCCCAGAACGCTCTCAAGAGCCCCCTCTCGAAGCCCCACAAACTTCAATATCCACATGAACTTCCGATCGACCTCGTGGACCTCACAGCTGCTGCGAGACCCTCCCCAGTGAGCCCTATGAACACCATCAGCCCGGCGAGCCCATGAGCCCAATGAGCGCCTGAGCCCTACGACACCTATGAGACCGACGACCCTTATGAGCACTTCGAGCCCTACGAATCCTACGACCCTTGTCAGCGCCACGAGCCCTCAGCCTCAGCCTCAGCCGGTCCCATTCGCCCTATGAGCCCTATGACCAGAAAGCACCACATAAACTCACGAGCCCAATGCGCCCTATGACCCTATACTCCTCACGACCGCTTGCGCTTTCCAAACCCTACGAGCCCAATGATCCCGATGAGCTCATGAACCCTACAACCCCTTCGAACCCTATCAACCCGATGAATCCTCTGAGCCCCATGAGCCGTGTGCCCTCCAAGAGCCCCCCCCAGCACCTCCCTTAGGAGCTCACGAGCGACCTTGCTCCCAAGCGTCCAGTGGATGCGGCACCATCAACCCACATGAGCTCCATGGGCCCGTCGAACCTTCGAGCACCTCGACGTCCTCAGTGCCGCAAACCCTATGGCCCGTATGAGCCCGAATGGCCACTATGAGCCCTATGGCCGCGATGAGCCCTATGAGCCCTTTAAATCCTGTGCGCCCAATGGCCCCATCCAACCCACATAAGCCCTATGACCCCTATGAGACGTGCATGCCGCATCGCCTGTGAGCCTGTGACCTTATAAGCCCTCTGAGCCATTTGAGCCCGACGAGCCTTATGCGCCCTACGTGCCCAGTGAGCCCTGCAAGCCCCATGTCGTCTATGAGCCTCAGAAGCCTTGTGAACCCTTTGAACTCTATCAGCCCCACGGACCCCACGAGCTGCATGGCCGCAAGGAGACTCCCGCAACCCTATAAGCCGTATGAGCCCCATGGTCCGTATGAGCCTTGCTATAACCCCCACAACACGTCATGAACCCATGTGAGCCTTATGAGAACGGTGGGCACAATGACGCCCATGAGCCTCATTAGCTCGATGAGCCCACCCGCTATGGGGCCTAAAACCCCGTGACTTCTGATTGGCTAATGCCCCTACAAGCCCCAGAGCCCTAATGACCTCATCAGCCCGAGGAACCCTATGCACCCAATCACGCCTGCGGGCCATTGGAGCCTCATGATCCCCATGAGCCGCGCTGGCTGAATTGTCCCACTTCCCAATTTAGACTCCAAGCCTCTGAGCCCGAGTGGCGGCGGAGAGGCCTTTGAGCCCTCTTACTCGGTAGAACCCATGGGACCCGTCAGCCACGCGTGACCCATGGACTCTATAGCTGACACGTATCGCGGTACTGGTGTATACCCTTAGTGGGCCCCGGAAACGGCAAGGCCGTTGCTTCACCGTTTCCAAGAACATGTCCCTTGAAACTGGAAACGGCAAAAAAACGTCGACCGGAAACGGCAACAAAAACGGCTCCAGGATTGGAACTGAAGCCGGAACCGGTCAAAAAACGGCGACGGAACCGGTAACAAAACGGCGTCGGAACCGGCAAAAAAACGGCAAAACGGAGCGGGTAAAAAATCAGCCCTGTCGTTTCCAGGGCCCACTAAGTGTATACTGGTTGCGGCGGGCATGTCTGGCACTATGCGATCAAGATGCTCAAGGCGAAACGACGCGAGCTGGTAACATCTTGTACATATATACATTTATCAGAGTGAGGGGGCTGAACCGAACAGTCATTCACTGTCCCTGGGTGCGTGGCTGAAATGGAATTCCGCCATGCGGATTTTGGTTGTTGTTGCTGTTGTTTGTTGTTTGTTGTTGTCGTCGTCCCACCTGGGCCCCGCCCCGCGATCCACCCGCGACCCACCCCGCGACCCACCCGCGACCCACCCGCGACACACCCCGCGACCCACCCCGCGACCCACCCGAGACCCACCCGCGACCCACCCGCGACCCACCGCGACCCACCCGCGACCCACCCGCGACCCACCCCGCGACCCACCCCAAAATTTTCGGCGCCTGCGGCGGGTTTCTTTTGCATTCGTACCCACCCGCGACCCACCGCGACCCACACGCGACCCACCCCGCGACCCACCCAAAAATTTTCGGCGCCTGCGGCGGGCTTCTTTTGCATTCCTTACAGGTGGAGAACCTGCGACCCACCCGCGACCCAAACCGCGTTCAGTGTACAAATCAAAATGTTCGGCGCCTGCGGCGGGCTGTTTTTGAATTCCTGTCAGGTGGAGGTGGAGAGCCCGCGACCCACCCGCGACCCAAAGTACGTTCACTGAAGAAGCCAAAACTTCAGCGCCTTCGGCGGGTTTCTTGTGCATTCGTTCCAGGTGGAGAACCTGCGACCCAAACCGCGTTCAGTGTACAAATCAAAACGTTCGGCGCCTGCGGCGGGCTGTTTTTGAATCCCTTCCAGGTGGAGGAGGAGGAGGAGGAGCAGGAGGAGGAGCAGGAGGAGGAGGAAAGGGAGGAGGAGGGCGCCATCGACAGGGAAGGTGAGGACCACGAGGTCCGCCGGCTCGACGCCCGCGTCGCCCGCGCCCACCCCCTCACTCTTATCCGCAATTGCGGGGTGCTGCGTATACATATATATATATATACAGATATATAGATATATAGATATATCACTCTATCTCTCTGGCCCAGGGTGCAGGTCAAAGGGCTGCAGCGCAAGTTATTCCAGGCATCGCAAAGTGTTGTCCAAATGGAACCTGAGCTTGTTCGGCGCTAAGCGTTCGTGCAGCAATGTCTTCTCAAAATCGAATCGGCCGCTGGACCTGTCCAAGAGCGCACTCGGATTAGGGCCTCGAGGCAAATCTGGGCGTGGGCCACCAAGAAGGATCAATACACGTAGAAAAAACATGAACATCCCTCCTCCTCCTCCTCCACCCCATTCTCCCTCGTTGTCGCTGTGCTCCCTCGTCATGCCCTCTTCCTCATCATCCTCCTTCTTTCTCCTCTTCCTCCTTCCCCCACTCCTTCCTCTTCCCTCCTTAATCCTTCCTCCCTCGTCCTCGTCCTCGTTCTCATCCGCGTCCTCGTCCTCGACCTCGTTCTCGTCCTCCTCCTTCTCCCCCTCCCTCCTCCTCTCCCAGACCTTCTCCTCCTCCCTCCCCAGACCTTTGACATCTCGATCTCGTCGAAATCTCCGCCGACCTCCGGGTCTCTCGAGCCCCCTCCCCAGGCCCGAAGTCGCTCTCCAGCTTTTTGTTGTTGACTGCCCCTGGGAGCCCAGACGTCCGGCGTCGTCCTCCTCCGCAGCGCAGCCCCCCAAAGGTCTGTGCCCGTCCCTGGGGGCGCAACCTGGAATCTCCTCCCGAACCGTCAAGCCACGCTGCAGAGTGACCGCAGGGGCCGTGCTGGCATCGGCGAGCCTCGGCCACGAGCGGGTTCCCCGACCCCAAGCCCAGAGAACGGGTCGGAAACCTGAGCCCGACCTGAGCCCGAATCAATCCTGATTTCAGCGTCTTGACTGTGAGGCCCCAACAGCGCGAAGATGGATGAAAATACTTCTGCCATCTTTTCGCTCACGGCGCGAGGGCGTCACGGAACAGATGACGGCCCCCTGTCCTCGAAGACCGCGAAAGACCCGCGGCGCGATTCTTCGGAGTTCCCAATCTGTCCTCCCATCTCCTGGAGCGGGAAACCCAAGCAATTCTTGGGTGGATGTCTTGCCAACACTTCGGCGTCAACCCAACGGTGTCAACGAGAGCGCCACTGAATGAAGCGAGAGCCAACCGTGTCACGACTGTTTTACGTACGAAGCAAGAGATCCCAAATCCTCCCCTTTCTCCTCTTCCTGCTCATGAGGTCACTGGATATGTCTAATGCCCCCGAAGATCATTTGCAATCGCTGGAATCCAAAAAAATACCAGAAACATCTAATCGAACCTCCACCCTCGATCTTTGCCCGCAGACCACCCGTGTTATGCATCTCCCGCAAACTGGTTTTTCATACTGACATTTTTTGTTTGTGGACGGTCTGGGCCTGGGAAGTGCCACTGGGGCCAGAGAACTGCCTAAATCCGTCCGTCGTACTTCAGTTCTGACGACGGGGAAGGTACGGTGGGTTCGTGTCGTGACGACCTGCGCGTTGGTGCCTGACGCCGAGTGGATCCTCCAACATTGAATGATCAATGATCGGCGGTTTTGCGATTGCGAGATCGTTATGTGTTTATTGGCCGACTTTGGGCCACTGGCAACGTTCAACCTTGAACGCCCGCGGCGGGGTCGCCGCCGCGTGAGAAGAAGGCAAAACGAAGACGGGAAAGTATAGTACGCCCGCCGTGTAGCTTCTCCACGTCCTGCCTCCTTCCCCTCCTCCTCCACCCCCGCGCGCCTGGGCGGCCGTGGGCCAAACCGCTGGAGCCGCGCCCTCTCCAACATCGCCAGCCGCCACGCGTTTCCGCGCTCGCACGCGGCGACCACCTGGTCGAGCCGGGGAGGACCGTCTCGTTCTGTTATCGCGGTGTTGGCCCCAACTCCAGCTGCCCAGAACCATCTGGATGCCTCCACCCAGATACCACAACACTGTGTTTCCGGCTGCCCTTGGATTGAACATGCCAAAGGTTTGTCGGTATTATTCCCTACCTAGGCTCTGCCTAGAGGGGTTCTTACCCTCTGGGCTTAAAGGGCCGGGCAGTGGGCCTCGCCCCGGGCGGTTCCCCCAGTATCCGCCCCGCGGTTCCCCCAGTTACGTCCCCTCAGCTTAGCGTTGCTTATCTCATCTTAACTTAGCATATTACATCTTAGCTTAGCTTAGCTTCATCTTAATTCAGGCTTATCTTAGCTTAGCTTACCTTCATCTTAGCTTCGCTGAGCTTTAGCACAGCAGAGCATAGCATAGCATAGCATAGCGTAGCATAGCATAGCGCAGCACAGCATTTCATAGCAACACCCATCATATCATAGCATAGCGCAGCATAGCATAGCATAGCATAGCATAGCGCAGCACAGCACAGCACAGCACAGCGCAGCATTAGCATGGGTGTAATTCCCTACCTAGGCTCTGCCTAGGGGGTTAGCTTAGCTTAGCTTAGCTAAGTAGCGCAGCGCTGCATTAGCATAGCGCAGCGCAGCATAGCATAGCCAAGCATAGCATAGCATAGCGCAGCACAGCATAGCATCGCATAACACAGCATATCATAGCGCAGCTTAGCATAGCATAGCATAGCATAGCACAGCGCATCATTACATAGCATTGCTTAGCATAGCATATCATAACATAGCGCAGCATAGCATAGCATAGCATAGCATAAACTAGTATAGCATAGCGCAGCATAGCATGGCATGGCATAGCATAGCAACTAATGCTGCTTTCCTAGGGGCTCCAACTTCTAGGTAAGGTCGCACTGGGGTACTTTTGCTTAATCTGGACGTGGGACACGGGTTTCAAACGAGAAGTTAACTGTGACACATTGTGACACATGCGCTTGAAACGTGTGTTGTGATGTGCTACGCGTGTGTGTGTGTGTCTGTGTGTGAGTGTATACCTTGCACTACGCCACGCCGCCGCACGCGTGGCCGCGACGCCAAAACGCGTGTGTGTATTTGTGTGTGTGTGTGCGTGTGCGTGTGCGTGTGCGTGTGCGTGCGTATGTGCGCGTGCATGTGTGCACAGCACAGCCTCCTCCGCCTCCTCCGCCTCCTCCTCCTCCTCTTCCCCTTTCTCTCCCCCCTCCATCATATTCCCCTCCTTCTCTCCCTCATCCCCCCTCCCCTTCCACGTACATCCCCTTCCTCTCACGACGAGGACGACGAGGACGAAGTCGTCGACAATCCCCAAGACCCTCAGAAATCTCCCCAGAAACCTCCGAGAACATCATACACCATCCAACGACAACCCTTCAGTGACCTCGAGCCAACGGCGCCGAGGACGCCGACGCCGACGCCAGCGCTGCCGACGGACGACCACGACGGGCGCCGACGCCGACGCCGACGGACGCCCACGACGACGGACGCCGACGCCGACAGGCGCCGATGGACGACGCGCGAAGGACGGCGACGGCGGCGGGCCGCCCGCCGCACGCGAGGCTGCGGGGACCAAGGCCCGCGGTGCGTCACGGCTCCGGTCGGCGAGGAGGGCGACCGCGCCGGGCCACTGCGCGGCGGTCCCGAAGCCGCTGATCGCCAGGTCGAGGTCTGCGGACTCGGCAGGGAGCCTCGGGTTTTGTTCTTGGCAAGCGCATCTCTTGAACTCTTGGAGGGGGAGGGGGGGCGGACAGCACGCCGCCGAAGCACCTCACGGAGTTTGGCGTGGCTGAGCCTCTTGCGTGCGAGAAATGCGGCAACACACACACACACAAGGCAAACGTGAGACACTGGGATGTGCAATTGCCGAAGCGATCAGGAATTGCACACCTCGTTCTGTGCAGAAAACGGCAGTGAGCCTCGGGGCAGACGAGAAACATGGCAGGAACGAAGCTCAGAGGAGGAACAGCTACCGATACCGCTGCCCTTCCCCCGTCGCCACGGCTGGATTCGCCTCGAACTCCTGGACCGAACACACCCCCAGGAGAGGTCCGTGGAGCAACGGTATTTGTATCTCTTCCTGCCCCCATAGGCGGGTCCCGGGCGTTTCCCCTGGGGCTGGCCAGCTTCTCATCCTGAATCGTCGTTTGGAAATTTGCCGGTCCGGGGTCCCCGTGAAAGGCCCACAGAGACCCGAACCTGGGGACAACCCTCCAAGACCCATTTCCATCAGAAAGAACAGGCAAGGCTGCCTGGATCGGGGATGGACAGACCCCCCTTTAGCAAAACGTGGTTTAGTGAAAACAACCTGAGGCCCAAACCTGGCGGGCGCAAGCCTGGAAAATGACGGCCTCGGCGCCCTCTCGAGAACCGAAAACGAACAATTCACTAATCGACGTGTCACTGTTGGGGGTTCTGTCCGCCCCCGACTGGATTGGGCCGAACCTAATGGGGTCGGAGGATCCAATCGCATCGCCGATGCATCGGCGATGGGGCGCGATGCTCCGACCCTATCTGCTCTGGCCGCATTTGGGCGGCATGGAACAGGAGGGCATTCAGCTGGATTTTCGGGCGCATCAGGGCGCTGGCGGCAGACTTCGCACCAGCCCCCCTCCCCTTCCCTTTGGACGCCCGAAGTGGGCACGGAGATGATAGGCACGATGCCCAACAGCAGATGTTGTCCAAAATCGACAGCGGCCGCTGTTGGCGACCTCTTGCCTTCAATGGAGAACGTCCGCGGCGACACCGACAACGAACCCGGTTCGAAATGGACAGGAACTGCTGTCGGTCTTCGCAGTCACTCTTTCCGTACCCATCTCGATTGTGCCGATCTCCCCCCCCCCTGCTGCGTCCGCCCCAGGAGCCCGCTCCGCCGCATCTGCTCGAAAAGCTCCACCTGGCAGACAACAGTCAACGGCACAAAACACGACCCTTCGAAGATCAGTGCGGATTACTTTTAGGTCCGGCGTGTCCCCTCTACAGGGGGATTTTGGAAGGCAAATGAACAATACCTCAAACATACAAGACAAATACTAAAAAATGTTCTTTTTTTGTTTTATAAATCGTCCCCATATCATTTTCTTTTACTGTTGTTAAATATTCCCCCTGTAGAGGGACAGGCCCGACTCAAGACCACTTGGGTCGGCGTTGAGCCCCTGCCGACGCCCCTGGGCGGCGGCGCCTCCGACGCTGCCCCCTGCCGCCACCCCCGCGCGCCAGGCACGGGTGGTGGGGAGGACGGCCCGAGCGCCAGCCCCAAGGAATCCGCGCGGAGCTCCGCCCTCCTCGCCGTCGCTCGGACGTCCATTTTTCCCGTGCAATGATTCGGTTTTCGTGCGCGATTTTTTGTTTGTTGCTCCATGGTCCAGGCTGGTCCTCGAGGGTTCTCGCCGAGAAAGGCATGCACACGTCCGAGCGATGCCAAGTCTTGTGCTTGTGAATCCTCGTTTGGCTCTCGACCACCGCGGACTTCCAGCCACCATCGCGGCTCCTGCAGCCCGCGTACATCGCGAAGCTCACGATGCTGCTGTCGACGCGCAGGCGCAGCCCCCTGGCACCGCGGAAGACCTGCAGCGCGCACAGCCACGTGCGCGCGCGGGCGTGAGCGCGCGCCATGGCGCCGTACGTGGCGATCGTGCGCCTCAGCCCGCCCAGCCCGGCCGCGTGCAGCGCGCCCAACGCCGAGGCCCACAGGGTGCCCCTCTCGAGCGCAGTGGTCAGCCCCGCCAGGCCTGTGCCGGGGGCGGGCCCGGTGGCCGCAGCTCCGCCAGCGGGGCCGGCGCGAGCGTGCTCGCCGTCCGCGTCGCTCTCGTGCGGGAGGCTGCTCTTCACCAGGGCCAGGGCGTGGCCCCATCGGCCCACGCTGGAGCAGGCGGCCGCGGCGCGGCCGCGGGCGCCCGGGACCATGAGCGGGGCGAGGGCGCCCCGGTCGAGCAGCAGCAGCCCGCTGCGCCACGCGAGCCCCTTGCAGGCGCACTGCAGCGCGAGCTCGTGCGCCACAGCCCGCGGCAGCCGCCGCCGCTGCTCGCCGAGGGCGGCGAGCTCCGCGGCCAGCCGCCACCGCCCGCCCGAGCTGCAAGCCCTGACGCTGTGGGCGGAGGCCGCCATGGCGTAGCGCCGCTCCCGGGGGGCGAGCTCCGCGGCCTCCGTGGCGGCGCGCGCCTTGCTGGGGTGGGCGCCTCTGCCGAGGGGGGTCATCAGGTGGAGGCCCTCTCGCCACCGCCCCCCGCTGAAGAGGAGGTCCAGCACGGAGCCATAGAACTCCATCGGGATGTCGTGCCTGGACATCGTGCCTTGCGCCTCCAGCCGGTGCAGCTGCTGCAGGGCATCGTCCCACCGCGCCGGCTGGCGCGCCACCTTGAGCACCGACCTCTGGACCGCCAACTTGACGAACGACGCGCGCCATTCGGCGCCCGCCTCTTCGCGGCGCGACCAAAGGGGGCCGGGCGAACGGGAGCGACCTTGTACGGACCTCCATCTGGGAGGCCCCAAGAGGGCGGGTGTTGCTCATGGTGTTCCTCGCCCGAGGTGTGTCCCAGGATCGCCACGGGGCCCCGGTGGTCTTCGGAACTCCCCTCACAACGCCCAGGGAGCCCAGGAGCCCCAATCAAAATGTTGCGAAAACCGGATGACTACATGGGAAAGAACCACTTCCGACAACTCCCGACGAGCGGGGGCGGCCTCCGCAAGGGGGGCAAGGCGAGAAGGGGCGGCCTTGTGGGAGAGAGCCCTGCGCCGCCTCTTGCGAGCAGCGGGCGTGGGACGCGGGTCGTTTCTTTCGAGGGGCCGCCCCGTGCCGAGGAGCCCCCTGCTCCCTTGCGGAGGCCCCCCCCCTCGTCGGGTGTCGCCCATGGTGTCCCAAGCTTTTCGCACCGTTTCGGAGCCCCTGAGGCCCGCAGGCCACCTGGCCCTCCTTGGGGATCCTGGGACACACCTTGGCTGGGAGCACCTTTGTAGATCAATGGACTGCGCAAACACATCCCTGGACAAAACATGCTTCGCAAACTATGAAGCATCGGAACACAAGAGCGCCTCTCCTATTTTGACTGCGGCTTCTGTTGAAAACAATATTTTGCCGACTGAACGAGCTGGGGCCGAAGCCGTGAGAGAGGCTCAGACGTTCATCCGCCCGAGCTCTGGAATCTGTCATTGCGTAGTCTCGCAACACGCAAAAGAAACATTACAACACAGCGGCCACATAATATCACCGATCCTTAAGAGTATAGTATGGAAGGGAAGGTACTGGGGAGAGGGGCGATAACAAATGCGGCAACACAAAGATGAATGATATAACCATGTGCAAACACATGCCACAACCATGGACGCAACGTGCTTGGCGAGCTAAAAGACATCGGAGCAAACGACCGTCCTGTGCTCCTGCTGATCTCCAGAGTTTAACTAGGACAAGCTTGTGACAGCTGGCGGCCGTGGTTGAAAACAACCTGTTGCCGAGCCAACGAACTGAGGAGAGCCTAAGGGAAGGCGGAGATTTCACCCCCGCAGGGGGGGGGTATCACATCGTTTCCTGTCTTGCCGCCCGAAAGATCCAACGACACGTTCGCATGGCTGACAATGCTGCCACAAAGCCTCCTCATAGGATTCCAAAACCCCATCATCGGAACCCCTTGGCGAGGTCAGCAAAGCGCCGCTCGCGCACCGCCACAACTGCAAGTCCGGGCCGAGAATACACAAGCGCATCCCGACGAACGAACCGCGAAACCCATACCCATTTAGGGGGTAAAACGACGCCACAAACCATTCCCCCCTGAGGCCGCTCCCCTTCGGAACCGCACCCCACTGGAGACTGTTGCTATGCTTCCCGCCAGAACATGTCAAAGCACTCCTGGAGGGTAGCGTGTCCTGCTGGCAACGCCATTGGAGCATGGGCTCTGTCTGTGTGGATTGCACGGGAGGCATCTTCTGGCGTTGAGTTGGACCTGGCGCGAGTCGCCCCGACGAGCCTGGAACCACTATAAATAAGGAAACGCGCGATCGGTTCTGGCCAGCTCCAGAAACCAAGGCGAATCACACACAAACAAAAAACTCGAGGGTAGAAAGCTCGACCAGCAACTCAAATGATCTGGCCCGGACGTCCTGCTCTGAAAAGGCCCAGGAACACACACATAAACAGACACAAATCCCAGCACTCCCCGCATTTCCCGATATTTACGGGAGTTTTGTCTTCCCCTCCATTTCCCATGTTTCCCAATACTTTCATCGGTATCGATGTTTATTTGTGTTTGTGTGTTTCTCCTGATGCTCGAACCTCAGGAAAGCAGAACAATCAGAACTCGATGAGGGCATCGGGCCCGAAGCAATAAGGGAAACTGAGACGTTCAGACCACCGAGCTCTGAATTCTGCCGCTGATGCCAGCGCGTCGAGCTCGGGGGGCGAGGACCTCGCTGACTACTGCTAGCGCGCGTGATGGGAGACTATCACGCACTCTCTTGCCTATTCAAGGAAACGTCTGAAACGAAGTTCAGGCTACGCGCGAAACGAAGTTCAGGCTACGCGCAGCTCGAGCGAGGCCCACCAGTCCCTGAGCTGCATTGCCTCCGGCGCCGCCGTGTGCGCCACCCGGTCGTGGCTAAGCCCGGCGCAGCGAAGACCGTGACGAATCGAATGCCGAGGTTCCTGGTGGGCGGGCCGCCGCGCGGGGCGGTCAGCGCCCGGCCTTGCGCGGCGGAGCCTTTTCCGCGGCCGGCTGGCCGCGGCCCACGCTGGCCGGAGACCCCGGGGCGGCCGCGGGTAGCAATCCAGGCTGAGGCACGCGCGGGCCGAGGCCACCGCGCGGATCATCCTCTCGTCGCCGACGGCCACGTTGAGGAAGCAGTCCGCTGCTGAGAAAACCTGATCGATGCACGGCGGGTCTCTGCAGTGCTCTGGCGACGAGCGAACGCAGCCGAGTCGATGGGAGGAGAGCACGGCCACACCAAGGCCACCCGTTGACACGCGTAGACCCATGGAACGCGCACCGCGCCGCCGTGATCCTGTCCCCAGCCAGCTGCAGGCTTTCGGAAATCTCCTCCGGCCCGCGGCCCCGCGCCCGCGCGTCGTCGTCGGCAGGGGCCCCGCCCGAGAAGTGCACCACCTCCGAAATTTACTTCTCGTGGCGCTTCCAAGCGAGGGGCGCCACCGCGCGTTCCTTGAGTCCGCTGTGCCTGCTGCCTGCGTCGGCGGCTGCGACTCGGCATCGGTTCTCGCCAATGATGGCCAGCCCCTCGCGGAGCTCGGGGCCGCCCCGGGCCCGCGTCGAATCCCCCCATCTGGGCGCGGCTCGCCGCGCGAGGCTCGGGCCCGCCGTTGGCTGGCCGTGGCCGTTGGCTGCCTGTTCGCCGACGGCAACGCAAATCTCGTTCTCCCGCGAGGGCGCCACCTCCCAGCACTCCTGCAACTGCGCGACCAAGAGCGCGAGGGCGAGCAGCGGCGAAACTCGCTGGCCACTTCCAGCCGGCGCGCGGCGGAAGACGGAGCCCCAGAGCAGCGCGCGCCGCTGGCAACCTGGACACGTCGTATGGCAACCGCGAAGTCTGGCACGTCGCGGCGCATGCCAGTCGGCTCCTTCCAGGCCGCTCGGCGCGCGCGCTGGTGGACTTGGCGGGTCTCGCACCCTGGCCTTCTCGATCGGCGGCGCAAGCGCTGCCGCTTCCGCTGGCCCAGCGCGAGACGGTTTTCGACTGCCGCGAAGGCTTCAAACCCGGCCGCGCGCCGCGAGCACGCGGGCAGTGAATCGAGCGCCCCTGGGCCCGAATCGGTCGGCGCCCCCCCTGGCAGCCCCGCGTCGCGCCGAGCTCCAGCGAGCGCGGGGCGCGCCTGGCGCCGCCGCCCAGGCGGGCCCGCCCAGGATCCAGTCCAAGATGACCTTCGCGACGGCGGGGCGGCACTCGTCGAAGCGCGGGCCCCTCGCGAGCCGATGGGCACTGCGAGCATGCCGCGGCGGCCGACAATCGCACGCGCCCGGAGATCGCCTCCAGGAAGTAGCGCCTCCTAGACTCGAGCCCGGGCGGCAGCCGCGGGCCGAAAAGCGGCGCCGCGACGGAGAGGTCGCCCCGCTCCGACTCGCCGCCCTCGATTATTCCCTGTCGGAACCGCCCTTCGGCAATCGCCTCGGCGGCCCGCCCTCGGCGGGCCTGGCCTGGCTTCGGGCGAGACAGCCGCGGCCCGCGGTCGCCGGGGTTGCGCCGGGCGTTGGCCCCCGCCCGCCACGCCGCCGCCTCGCGCGCCAACGCAAGCAGCTGCAAGCGGCGCGCCCGCCCGAGGCCCGTCGCCTGCACCTTCGACGCGCGGTCCTCGAGCGACAACAGCACCCGCGAGTGGTTGGCCTTTGAACTGGAGCAGCGCCCATCCGACATCAGGGCGCCGACGGCGACCGCGGGGCCAGCGCTCGGCGCGACCCTGGGGCGGCGCCAGCCGCGAAATTCGGCCAACAACGTCGGCGGCGGGGGCCTCGGCTGGAAACCCTTGGGCACACGAAGAACAAAGGTGGCGTGATGGGGGGCGTCTTGGCGCGCTCTCCTCGCCTCGGTCACGGGGGCAGGTCCCGGGCCTCGGCGGCGGGGAGCGCGCGCCCGTGCGCGCTCGAGTTGACGCCGAGCGCGACAGGGGCGACGCCCCCCCCGAGCTCGCTGACCGCGTGCGCGAGGAGGCCCTGCGCCGCGCGGAGCTCGGACGCGATCCGGGCGTCGACGACGCCCCCCCCGCCCCCCGCGAAGTGGCGCTCGAAACGCACGCAGCCGAGCAGCTCCCTGCGCGCACTGACGTGGTCGACGAGGTGGCAGAGATCCGCCATGCCTGGCTCAGCGCGAAGACGCGCCT